GGATTTAACCATGTTACTGGATTCTTACATTAATCTGGATAGATCATCTAATGTTCCTCTTGATTATATCTGCTGACATTTTATCTGAAAATAAGGACAATATTTTCTCTTCCTGATTCTTACTTTGTACTTCTTTTCTATTTATCCAATCAGAATCTTCAGGGACAGAGCTGAACGGAAGTATTGATGAAGGGTGTCTGTCTTTCTGTAGGTCTAGAGGCTGTGCTTGATGTCTTTGTAGAGATGGATATAATTTATCATGATATGACACTTCTTTCCTAGTTTTGGTTCACATAGATTTTTTAACAGTGGATGAATTTTATCTAACACTTTCCCAGTTTTCCTGAGATGTATTGTTTTTCTTCTTTGATCTATAAAGGCGGGGCTTTTGTCTTGTTCACCACTTTATCTCCCATGCATCCCTGTTGGCACATAGTATCTACTCAATAAATATTCATTGCATAAGTAATTTTTTTAAAAAAACACAACAATCTAAGCTTTTGTAGTTGACCACTTGGAAAACGTCCTTGTGGGCACATGCAGGAGCTCTGTACCACTTGTTTCCAGCCTGAGATACTCTCCCATTCTGACTGCTTGTCCATTACCTCTCCCATCCCCATGGCCTCAGGGAAGGTCACCTATCGCTTAACACCACCCCAAGTGGCTAAGGGAAGGAAGCTACTCTCCGCTTTACACTTAGTGCCACACATGAAACACATGTTCCCCATAAATATGTACAATTGCTATATGATGATTTCAATTGCTTATAAAAACCCACCTACTTCCCTAGTTGCCTTACAGCTATGGAAATAATTTAGAAAATCTACCAGGTAGCCACATAAAGAAATTGCAATAAGCCAGCCTCCCTCCCCCTCCTGGAGTGTCCTGTCACAGACACTGTGTCTGGGAACCTTGGCGTGCAAGTAAGGCCTTTCTGAGGCTGTTTGCCCAATTTCACATACACATCTCCACTTCTTCAGTGTCACTGTCCTATGCTGCAGGATGCTCAGGGACCTTCTTCTGCTACTGCTCATGATTTGCCAAAATTGTGCTATAGTTGGGTCTTATCTTTCTTACAGTTTGTCACCATTGTTTTCCTGTACTTTTCACGCCAACTGGACTCTGTTCAGTGTCTTTCTGCAAACCTCAGCTTGATCCCTGTTGTCATGGTTTATGTCCTGGGATTTCCAGGTGATATTTCTAGATGTGGGTCTCTTTTATTGTCTGGTTGTCTGGAGATTTGTGCAGCTCTTTTGCTTAGGGACTTTTCTTGTGTTTGTTTTCTTGGTTGCCTCTTTCTAGAACTTTTGATAGGAGGGCATTAGGCTATCTCCACATCCCTTTATGTTTTCTGTTGCCTGCGTCTTCTCTTGATAATTTGGGTCTGTATTCTGAGAGACCACTTTGACTTTATCCTCCAATCCTTGCACTGAATTTTTATTTTAGAAGATATTTTTGTTAAATTGCAAGACCTTCTCATTCTCTGATTACATTATTTTCTCATTTCTGGGTACAGTCACTCACTGAATCTCTGGCAATTACATTATTTTACTTTCTGTTCCTTCCATTAACCTATTTCTTCCAAAGTCTTTTCTTCTCTCTATTTGGGTGTTTTGATTCCCTTATGGTCTTGGCTTCTTTTGAATAATTCATGGACCTAGTCATCTGGAATCTGCCCTTTTGAAAAATGATTCAGGAACTGTGCTGACTGGTGGCTCTTTGTGTGTGGCAAATCCACCAGCAATGCCATGGGCTCAGGGTTAGATGCCCAGTGCCAAGGGCATTCTGAGGATGCCAGCACCCACTAGGTCTCTGTACAGGACTTTCTCCTCCTCCTCCACTGCAATATGCAAGTCTGCTGGGCATGATGCATGTAGAGCTAGTGCCTTATCACCGGGGACACACTTCCTGCTGGAAGCAGGACAGGGAGAAGGACCAGGCCATGCGCAGGTAAGCTCTCAGGTAAAACAAGTTCAGCCTGAACCCTTTAGAGCTATCAGTGACTCCTACAACTGACATCTATATGGGGAGGGAGCATGATCCCTCTGAGTTTGTCTCCTGGCCTTGGAAAGGCTGCTGGGCTGTGACATGGCCACATGTTCAGCCATCTCTGAATGGAGCTCCAAAGTCAAGTGCGTTGTAACAATCACCTTGTGGGTGTTCACATCCTCTGATTTCTGAGTTCTCTCATTTTACTAATTCCTGTACTTGTTATTTTGCCAAGACACATCCACGATTATTCCAAATAAAGTAAGACCCAGAGGGGAGTGTAGCCTGCAGGGCAGGAAGCCACAGTACAGGATGGGGTCCCACAGCCTTCAGGTCTCTGTGTGAGCACAGAGGCTGGCAGTATTACTTCAGAGAGCTCTCTTCTAGGTTACCAAGATGTAACAAGAGTACCTTGGTGTTAAGACAAGGACATTGAGGCCTAGGATTTTATTCTTAAGTTTTCACAGTGTCCTTATGTGTATGCTAAATAGATCTAATAAGTAAGGGGAACTGAAAACGAGTGAGGAGCATCTGCACTGTTGCATGTGTGAAGCTATAAGGAAGATGTAATCAAATGCATCAAACAGTCATCAGCTAATGTGTGATGCTATCTAACTGGGTTCTAATTATATTGGGTAGTATTTATCAAAATTACCCCACATGAACACTCTCAAAACCTTCTCTTGTTACTGGCTGTAAAGAATTTGTTTACCTGGCTTGTATTTGTTATGCACCAAAGATTATAAATGTTAGTTTGATTTGATCAGGAAAAGCACAAGACACGCTCTCAGGAATCAGAAATGCAAGCCTATCTTTGAAACTCTGGAATTTATGCTTATGAAATAGGTAGCAAACAGTCTGAGACTCAGCGTTCAGTCTGGAAAGAGACAGGAAATAAAGACAGCAGGCTTAGAAAGGGTGTGGTTCTGCTCCTACTATGATGGTGTACGTGTTCACTGATGGGTATTTTTATGGTAAATGAGACAACTGCTGTAGTTCTTTGTTATTTTAGCTAGCTTCTTAAATAACAATAAAATGAGAGCTACAATAGTGAGCTCTTCTTTCTGGGTTCTTGACTGCAGCAAGGACTCCCAGCCTAGTGTGACCATTGAGGGTAGCCAAGGTAGCTTTTCTTGGCAAAAAGTGACCATGCAAAAAGGTTGGGTATAACCCTTCTCTATTGGGTATAAAATACTAGAAATGATATTGTAAAGGAATGAGGGCTTAACAGAGTCTTCAGCTTAAAGTATATGAAAAATTCCAGGGAAAAAGAGGGTATATCTCAGGAATTGGGCTGCATTTTCATCTATTGAAAATCAAGGGTCAGCTCTGCTACCTGGTACAGAAAGTCCTGTCATACTCAGTGTTCCAGAATTTGTCTCCAGGTGCAAGGACAACAAAATTTGAAGGGTCTGGGCTTTTTCGAGTATTCATTTTCCTGATGTCTTAGATACTTTTCTCTCCGCTAGGACAAAATACCCAATACCCATAAGTTAAAAGGGGAAGATTATTTCAGCTCACAGTTTGCAGAGGTTTCATTCCATAGTTGGCTGGCTCCAAGGCAGGGTGACATGGCAGAGAGGCATTGCAGAGGAGAAACAGTCCGTGGTAAGGCGGGCAGGAAGCAGCAACACCAGCACCAAGCCTGTCTTTGTGTCACTTTATATTCCAGGCTACAAGACTGTTGATAAACCCCAGTATCACATCCTTAATCCACATTCCCACACCCTCATCCAGTAACCTTCAAAATTCCCCACCTATGACTATGAGGCTTTAGGGGGACATCTAGATACAAGCTAGATTACCTGACTTGAAATTGCAATGAAGTCCTCACAGGAGCTGTTTTCACTACCAAACTATCACTCTGACATCTCCGAGAAAAAGTATTAAAAGATGCCAGACAGTGTCTGTAAGGTTGAACCATTCTATGTTCTTTGCGTATTTTGGACGTTCCAGATTCCAATAATCATCCTCTGTCTGCAGGTAAGATTGTTCATCAATTTTAGAAGAACATGTTTTCAGTTAATCTAGTCCTTGGCAGCATGGCTCTCCTTTTAACTAGTCTGTAGAGCATATCAGAAATTTCTCTTGCAAGAAATATATTAGAGTCAAAATTAAAAATTCCTACCCCAGAATTTGTAAGGGCAAAGCTCATCTAAACACTACCAACCTTATCAACAGCAAAGAGAGAGATTAAGCCTTAGGGAGGTGAGGGGATTTGTCCAGAGTCACCCAGATGGTGCACATTCTGAGACAAAGGTCAGGCCAAGATGACCCTGGGATGTCCCAGCATCAAATGTATGCATGCTTCCACTGGAACTCAAGTCTCCAGCACACAAAGAGACAGAAAAACCATAAAACAAGCATGAACAAATCCAACAAAAGTTTGATGTTTCCTATAATAATTGTCTTACTCATTTTCTCCTCCTTGAGACAAAATATCCAATACCAACAACTTAAAGGAGAAAAAGCTTATTTTGGCTTATAGTTTCAGAAGTTTCAGTCCATAGTTGGCTGGATCTCAGGCAGAGACAGCAGGGGAAAGAGGCCCATTGTAGAGGAACTGTAATGGCCACCAGGGAGCAGAGAGACAGGGAAGACCCCAAGAGGGAGCTGCACACTTTAGGTCCCATCCCTAGGGACCACCTCCTCTGACCAGGTCCCATCTCCCAACAGCAAGTCGGTTTTCCAGTCACCTCCTATACACACGGGAATTTGCAGGACATTTCAGATCCAAATCATAACAGGAATAATTTTGTTTTTGTTTTTAAAGTATAATGTTTAACCACCAAACCTTTCCTATTTCTTGGCAATCTTTTTTTGCAGACTGCAGAACACTAACCAAAACCCGGGTCTTTTGTCTGTGAATCTTTTTTTTTTTAAATTTTAAAGAGAATAAAAATTTTAAAAAACATTAGAAATGATACAGAATTTCAAAACATGATAGGAAATCAACAATGGTTGTTCTATTGTATGCTGTTATCTTCAAAGTAGTTGTTCAGATTACCAGATATAGGCATGCAAAATTGATCCCAAAAAATTAAGCATTAACTGTTCCTCTTTTACAGTTCTTTTTACCACATCTCTGCTCACACTTAGATGTCACAAATGCTGCCCCTGTGACTGTCCCTGGTAGTGGCGGGGGCCTCGCTGCACTGTTTCCCTTTGTAGAGGTTTCTTGAGAAGGCAGAGGGCCTGCTTTCCATTCCTTCCTTGCAGTGCTCCAAAGTAGGCTTCCTTAGGGCCAGGCATGCAGGGCTTCCAAGGACAGTCGTCCTGTCAGGAAACACTGCAGTGTTGCCTCTCGTGGGGCTTCCTAATGAGCAGAAATAACACTGGTCCTCCATTTTTCTTGGAGAAATTACTTGCCCCTTAAGTGTCTTTCTGGTTGTCTCCCTCCCCTCCTCCTCTTCTAATGTAGGTCTGTAGGGGATGAAGGGGACGCAGTAACAAGAGGGACATCAGAGATCCCAAAGAGAAACTGGCTTCTAAGAAGTGCTGGATTTCTGCCTGTTAAAACAAAAATAATACAAAGAACAAGGCAAATTGAAGCATTTAAGTTGCTCAGAATGCTGGCACTCTTCTTTGCCTTCCGCAGAAGGATTTCAGACACAGGGTGGTGTGACTGGGCCAGAGCTGACCATGAAGATAGTCTCAGGCTGACAGCTGAGGAGAAAAAAATAGCCCTCTAACAACAGCCCGCCCACCTACGATGGTGGAACCAGGGAAAGAGAAGATAGGTGGCAGCTTTGCATCTAGCCTTCTAAGACGGCACTGCCTTTCAGGAACCTTTCAAAGCCAAAGTGCAGGGGCTCAAATGAGCCAGGCCAGGCAGGGAATGAGTATCTGTAGGCACACATGGGCCAGGTTCCTGTATTCCCATCCACAGTCTCAAAGAAGAAAATCCAATAAATAAACGCATGAGCACTTGTGGGGGACTTCCAGGACACTCTTTTGTCCCTGAGTAACAAAAAACCCTGAGCCAGGCTGGCAAACATGCTCTCATTATGAGTGGCCAACTGTTGACACAGCACCCAAAAGGCAAGGGGGCCAGGACCCCGAGTGTCCCTTCAGGGTGCAGCATTTTCTCATGACAAGCCATTGCAGAAGAGAACAGTGATTACCAACCACGTTCAAATCCTGGCCTGGTCATTACATGGATAATCTTGGCGAGGAAATGTCTTGATATTAGATTTCTTCCAATTACAGGGGCAGCATTTGTGACATCTGAGATGGAGCCTGAGGGCCCCTCCATCACAGGCCCCAGGAAAGGACCACAGGAGACTCCATGACACTCAAGGGCCAGAATGAATCCTCTGCTGCTTGCTGCTCAGATGTCTTCTGCTACTATCTGTCCTCTTCCCTCTGAAGCAAGTGTGCTGATTGAATCAGTGTCAACAAGATGACTTAACAGCCTATTGACTTGGTCAACCCAGTAAAAACAATCAGTCAAGCTGGTCGCTTGACATTTAGTAGATGAACACTGACCTTTTCCCCTTGAATTCCAAGGAAGGATGTCATCTAGCCACAGTCTTACACCCATGGTTTTTGCTGAGGTCAGATGGAACAATTCCTCAGAAGCACAGGGGTACTCAGGGGGCTGGACAGGCATTGTGCGTGGCTGTGTGTTCTGGGTGCGGGGAGGGACCTGCCGAGATCCCACTTGCACAGATGCCCCTGAACAAGGCTTAGGGCCCCCAGCCTGGGTACTGGTAAACCTGCGTGTGTTTTCATTGTAAAATGATCCTCCTGTAGGAAGGCTGGGAGAGGCTGTGCTCTGAGTTGGTCCATGGCTGCATAATTTAGGGTACACTTACTCCACCAAGGAGGATAAGGTTTAAAAAAGTCTGAATTTGGAGTTCTAAACAGCAGTGGCCACTGAGGAACGTCAGGGTGAGAATGAATTACACAAGTCAGTATTTTCCAGCCAAAGATTCTCAGTTTTGATGCAAAATGCTAATCCTGATCGTGAAAGGCCATATAGATGTTGGTTTGCTATTGGGCTGGATCACCTGTAATCCTATGGCTCTGGGCAAGGGAACTGTTCCATTAAATCTTAGTTTCCACATCTGTTAAATGGAGGTGATGCCTATCATCTAAGCTACTACCTGTCAAAATAAGTTAAGATTATCTTAGACTGCACACCAGTATGGTTATTGTCAAAATGATATAGACCCAGATGCTAAAATAATCATACCTCCATATGAAATGAAGGTCCTGTGAAATGTATTAGGTACACTGGGGAATCAGATGTAGTGCAGTTGTTGAGGGTGAACGTGGGGTTGTATCCATCTGGACAGACATGAAAAAGTGTTTACAATATCCTAAGTGAAAGTGAAGCAGGTTACAAAGTAATACCTCTAGCATGTGACCTCTAGGAAGCATTTGGCTCTTGTCCCTCAGGTTCCAGGTGTGCAATGGACATACCATTTCAGCAGCTTCTAGTTCTTTCTCTTACCTCAAACTCTCAGACATGGCAGTATGCAGAAAATTTATGTAGCTCACATTCCCTGCCTCCTAAAAGCAAGACAAGAGCTTCCATACATAGCAGAGTGAAGTCTGGACTCCCTCTGCATCCCAAGCCTGCCATTCCCACCCACTCGATCCCCATGTCTTCAGGGCTAGCCACAACTTGCCAGGATGCCACCCCTCTTGTCAGCCCAGAGTCTTACCTTCCTTTCCTGTTTTAGTGGCTGCTCATTAGCAACAGAAGGGTTTAAACCCTTAGTGGCAGAATCCCTCCATTAAAGTCAGCTTGTACCAAGCAGTGATAAACAGTATAGCAACACTGGCCCACACTACACAAGATAAAAAAGAACTTCGAGGTAGGACCCATTCATTCCTCCCAACACCTCATCTTTTCTAAAAGTTAACACATAAGCCTCCTTATCTGAAGCCAAATGGTCTTCTGTGAGACCAGAGGAAATGGTCTTGTCCTAATGCAACTTAATTATAGACACAATGCAGGTTCTTTCAGAAGATCTACAAGGCATGAGATGATCTGGAAAAACACTCTTTACATAATCACATTTGCTGCCTAGATCCTTTTCCCACATCCTCAAGCCCTTTTAAAAACCCCAATCTCTCACCCTGCTGGCGTGATTCCTCTCTTAGAAACTTGGCTGTTGTCCCTCTTGACAGTGTACTCTGGGCAGAATAAACTCTTTTCACCATGCACCTCACTGTCCTCCTTATGCTGCCTCCAACCACCAACCTCAGCTCAATCTTCTCCATGGAGTCTTCTCAGGCTGACTGCCCCCTCTTCACCCTGCCCCTCACTCTCACTCTCATTTCAGAAGACTCTGGGACTCCTTGCTCTGAGTCTTGCACATGACCACTCCGACCCCTCCCTCATCACCTCGGGACAGGCTTACAGGTCTGCTTCTCTCACCTCACTGGGGCTCTATTGCATTCACTGCTTTGGTATTCACAGTGTTTCACAAGTGCTCTGTGAACGTTTCTTTAATGAATGAATGAACTGAATAGTGAATGCTTTTCAATGGACTTCTAGAGCTGGAAGAAATTTTTAAGATTGTACATTTTATTTTCCTCGCCATCACATTTGTAAAAACAAAACAAAACAAAACAACAAACAAAACCAAAAACTTCCCAAAAGTTGAGACTTTTTCCAAAAAAAGACCAATAATGAATTTATTTAGAAAATATTTATTAAATCCATGTGCTATGTGCTGCCACTGGTTTAGCTGCTTAGGATACAGTGGGGAACAAAATGATAACAAACTCTCTGCCCTGACGGAGCTTGTGCCTGAGTGGGTGAAACAGATGCTGCACAGGGTAAGTAAGTCGCTTACCTGTTAGGTTTGGTGGTGATGCTGGTGGTGCAGGGAGCCAAGAGTGCAACTTCAGTCAGGGCGGGTCTGCAGACGGAGGCACAGTTAGGCAGCTCTGTGAAGGAGGTGTGGGAATGAGCACCGCAGACAAAGTGGGGAGGTGACCACAGGGAGGATGCAGCCACTGCAGAGTTCTGTGTAGGCCTCAGGTGGACGGTGGAGTGAGTGGGGCAGGAAGAGGCGTGGCCACAGACCAGAAAGCTAAGAAGTAGGGCAGGGAAAGGGTGGGCAGAAAGCCAAATTAGGCTCCCTCTGTAAGATTTAAATTTTTGCTTTTACCCTGAGTTAAAAGAGCCATTGGAGTGCTGTGGGCAGAGGCAAAGCATGGTTTGAGTTATGTTTTGAAGTACTAGGCTGGTGGCTGAGTTAAATATTGATGATCGGAGGGCTGAGAGCAAGCGGGGAGCCTGGTCAGGAGCTGCGGCCAGTAACCCCGCCCAAGATGGTAGTTGTGGGTTGCCCAGGTGGGTGAGAACAGCTGTGTGTGCCTGTGAGTGTATCTAGGTGGTATAGCTAACAGAATTCCCTCTTACCGAATGTAGAACAGGAGAGGAAGAACACTTAGAGAACATGTGTTTGAAGTACCAGCCCCATAGCAAGCACTTGCTGGGTATTGTCTCAACTAATGCTCTAAACTCCTTAAGATCTAGGGCAAATAAGCTCTCTTCTCTCCACACAAGTGTGCATTTTATTATTCTGTGATGTCCCTTTGAGTACATTTTTCTTTAATTTGTGGGTCAGAGGACAGTATGCCTCAGCCAGCCATTCCCTCATGGTGTACCATGAGTACTAGTACAGAAATCTCGGCCTGTGGAAAGTGGGGTTCGAGATTAATAGCTACTGTCGTCTGAGTGGTAGCACGTGCTTCCTCTAAGACATCCAACAAAAATGTGGGGTGCATGCTGCTTTCCCCCACTTTCCTGATGAGAAAACTGAGAATGATTAGGCTGTAATAATTTACTCCAGGTTACAAAGTAGATCTGGACCAGTCTGTCTGATTCTCAGCCTGTGCCTTTTCTACAAACTCAATATCATCCTGAGCCCTGCTTGGGTAGGGTTGATTCTAAAAAGAATCAGTGCATGAGACCCTTTGAAGATGGGGGTCCTGGGATGTACCGGTGACTGCTGTAAATATTACTGTTATTGTTATTTCCACTGTCAACCTCAGGGAAAGACAGCTGAGGACTGTTCATAGGCTGAGTCCTCTCAAATCAGTTAACATATTCTTGGGGCTGAGCTGTAACTTCAGCGGTAGAGAATTTGCCTAGCACGCTCTAACTCTGGGGTCAGTTCCCCAGCACTGTATGCACAAAAAAATTTCTCTTTCCCTCTCCCATTATATTGATGCCTCCTACCTCTCCACATCCACCCTTGGCTCTTTCCTAGTTCTCTGTCTTCTGTCAGGCCCTCCACATTTTCTCAGTCTCCTAATTTTCTTCATTATTTTATTTGAGTTAGCTCAGCTTCTTTGCAGGTTCTGTGCTCAGTCCCCCCCCCCCCGTCACCCTCACATGTCACATTTTTATAGATTCCCAGAGAATGCATATACATAGCACCCTGGGACCTGAAGGAACTTTCCAATACACCCACAACCTCTAGAAACAAACAAAAAAGTTCCCTTCAGCACTCTACATCTGGACACCACGTGGGCTGAAAGTTTAGCTGCAAGAAATGTGACATCGGGAAAAACTCAGCCACAAAGATGAATAAGATTTAGCTGTCTCTGAACACTGTGCTGGGAAGTGGAGCTTGGAATTCTGTCTCTCCCTCATGGTGCAGTACCATTTTCCTTCCCTCCCAAGGGGACAGTGCCAGTGCTGCCCCAAATCACCCAGGCTGCTGTTCCCTGACCATTGTGAATCTGAGCAGAAGTCAATGAGTCCCCCACCTGCTGTCCTGCTCAGCAAGGGGCATGACCTCAAGAAGGAATGCTGACTCCTGCCTGCTATAATTACCAAGGGTGTCTACAGTTGGCATAGACCAGAGAGTGGAGTAGGAGTAGAGGAGTAGGAAGTGAGCTGTCTGGGGACCTGCAGAGACTCCTTGCTCTTTCTCCTCTTGGCCATCTGCTGGATTTGTGTGCCCAGGCCCAGTTGTGAGGCCCTTCTGTTTGCTGCAGAGCTTTGTGGACAAGAGCCAGAGACCTAGTGGAGATGAGGAATCAGAGCCTTTGCCATCAAATCCAGACCTAGCAGGGCCTATGTTTATGGAAGGGAAAAGTCAGCCACCACCCCCAGGAGAACCAAGGACTCAGTTCTGGGGGTCCAGAGGGGCTGAGATTTTCCCTATGGCTTTTGTTGGCCCAGAACAGGTACTGTCACACAGGAGGAGCAAGTCAGAGAAGCCCATTGTGGGTGAAGAGGTGACCATGGTGCAGCATTCACTGGCCCAGTGAAAGGCCAGGGACTGAGTGACGACAATGGGGGTGAAGAGGTGGAAAGCTCTTGGCCTAGACTTCCTGTTTGTCCAGTTTCTGGGGGACATCTGGGAAGCCCCATAGACCCCAGAGAAAAAAGCTACACAGTCCAGAAACTCCAGAAGTTGAGCAGAGAAAGTGGACTTCTCTTCCAGGTAACAGCAGAGGAGCCCCTGATCTCCTGTACTAACTTTGATTGGGGCCTTCAAGACTGAACAGGGAGCTGTCTTCTCCCAGCGCTGCAAGGAAGGACCCTCAGACACTGAGACACTGAGTTCTGTGAATGCTGTTTATTGTCGTAGACTCTCTTTCCCTAAAATTTTCCTGTTTTTTTTTCTTTTACACTAAATTTGATTCCTATTTCCTCGAGAAAGAAATCCTTAAACTATTTGAGATGCTGGTATGAGGCATCCTTGTTGGCAAATTTAACTTTCAAAGTCAGAAACTGTTTATCCAGTGAAAGCTCTAGATTCTCTGCTAATCCTGACTATAGATACAAAGCTGGTAAGTGGTAATGAGGCAGGAAGCTGCGGATAGGCTGTGACATCCCAGGAGGGTACAGCCCTCATCACCAAGTATCTGGATCAACACTCAGCCATTAGGTGCAGCGTGATGTAATTATGTCGGAAGAGCTTGGGACAGATGGCGGAGAAGTTTCTGTTTATAATGTAATTCCCCCCCATACACATTTATATGATATCAGGCTAAGCATATTGAAATGAATAGCCTATTCATTTTTTTGCCTCCTTGGGTTCCTTTTTTCCTCTAGTTTCTCTACAAGAACATTCAAAGGCAAAAGGCCAGAAAGTTAGCTTTTGAACCTGGCAGTAAATCCTATAAACCAGCCAACATCAAGACACAGGGCACTAGGGCATTGTCAACCATGACAAGATAATCTCAGAAACAGCTCCCACTCAAGTTCAAATTCAATACAGAAGGAGATTTTTAAAATAAAGTGGGCTGGGAAGGAGAATGAGTTTATTTGACCTAACTCCAAAGCACGAAGCTTGATCTGGCCCAAATTTTAAAAATAGAGAACTGTCCAAGAATAATAATAGTATCTTGCTGGGAAAGACTTGTTATCATAGCTAGTCAGAAAAAATAGACTGAAATTTTTCACATTCTTTCCAGCCACATGTCAGGAGCCTAGGTCTCCAATGGTCCATCCTAAAGCATGGGCAGATAGGAACAGCCATTGATTAGTTTAACCATGGGGAGACTGCAGGTGGGTGAAGGTATTGGTGCAGGAAGGCAACTCAACTCTGCAAGCTGAGAGGGAGGTCAGGATCTCCTTCAAACCATATAGAGTCTTCTGAGTGACCCTGCTGTCATAGGACTTGCCCTTGCCTTTATGTACACTGTTCCCTTTCACTGACTCTGCCCTGTCTGTCCGAGATCAGACTTTTTGCACCAAACTCAGCTCCATGAGAACTTTCTCTGTGGATCCTGCCTTTCTTCTTGATTGAGCTTCTGTCTTGGCCTCCTCTCCCAGCATGATGTTTGTGTTGACTCGTGGTCTTGGACATTTGCCCATGAGGTCTTAGAGAACAAGGAGTTCATCTTTACTCTGTGTCTTGTGTGATGTCAGACCATATTGGCACACAGTGAGTGGTTACTTAATTTGGCTGAAGTGGACTTGAGTTGAATTGAACTGAAAATTAGACTGCCTTCTAATGGGTCTCATGACAGAAATGCTAGGGTCATTGCTAAAGTGCTCTTTACCAGTCCTGAGTTAGGCCAGTGAGTAAGGTGCCTGCAGCTTGTATCAAAAGCCAAAAGCTAAGTGAACCTCTTTCCTTTCATCCCACTGAGATATTGCAGGACCATGTATCCCAAACTGGCAGGTTTTGGCTTGAAGAAACAGTGCATGGCTATTTCAGAACTAAATGCTTGGGTAAAACCAAAACTGGGCATCACCCAATTATCAGTGACTATTAAAGACTAGTCATAGCTACATAACTAGTCAGGAACTTGATGAGGAATCTTGGAGATATTTTAATTGTATTCTAATTAGTTGCATAAATTGTTCTTTTAGCTCCTATCTTTCATTAAATCAAATTGACATTGGAAAAAGAGGAAGTCTCTCACCCTCTGATTCTTGACCTCTCTGGGAACACTGAGTAAGACTCCACATTGTGGTCTGAGAGGCTGTGGAACAAACTGACACTTAAGCATTGAGACTGTGGGCCAGATAGACCTTGATTCAAATTCTAGATCTACCATCTAGAGGCAAGATTATTAATCTCTTTCTTTCCTTGTGAAATGGGATCATACTGAATAAATCATTTGACCAAAGGCCTAGAACTTTGTGAGTCTTTAATAAATAGTCATTCTTGTTATTATTACCTACCAACTCAAGGTGAGATGTTTAGGCACTTTTCTGAACATTTCTGTTTGCTGCTACTTTTTGAGTAAACTCTACTCTTTCATAATTGCCCACTAATAATACAATTTAGAGTTAGCTTTCTGGCTACCAGGTCAGGTTTTATTTCTCACCATCTTGAAGTAGATTATGACATTTACCAGGGAAACAATTAGAGAAGGCCAGTTGTATCATAAAGAGATTAAAGAGTAATCATTGCAAAGGCTCTAATTCATGCCTGGTTTAGCCACACTATTAATTCAACTCCCAGTGCACACAGAGGAATGGGTCACAACTTCGGACTAACACAAGACAATGTCAAGACCTGAGCTCCTGTTTCCACTCCAAGGTCTCCCCATGACTCACATTACTTCATGTTATCTCAATTACAATAAAGTGAGGGTCTCTCTGTGTTGAAAATAT